CTCTGCTTTTGGTGTTGCGTGCTTGAAACAGCTGAGCTGGGTAGGAAGGATGACTGTTGAGGGCCTCTGAAAACTGCCCCCCCCAATTAACTTGTGAAAGCCACTGCCACAAGATGTGGGTGGGAAGTTTAGGGGGGGCGTAGAGATGAAATATATTGTGAACTTAATCAAGCTTGCATTCAGGGACACTGAACCTCTTAATATTAAATGCTGTTGAGAGAATGGGGGAGGGCAAACAGCTCTTTGAGCTTCCAGAGGCCTCTGGAAGGCTGCAGTTGGGAACAGAATACTAGCTGCTAGCTAAGAACCTTGAATCTGGTCCAGCGAGTCCAAACATATTGATGCTCTCTAGTGCGTGCCTAAAATTAAAAACAACAACATACAAACCTGACTTACCCAAACTTTCCAAGGAGATGCAAGGCCATTGTTCACATTAGTGTTTGTCATTATTTATTTTGTCATGATTTAATTTTATGGATATATAGAGAGGATGAATGAAATTTTATGGACATATAGAGAGGATGAACGAAAGGAGATGAAACAAGTATACAAGACGAGTGTGGATGGGAGAGTTGGAAGGGGTCGACCTCAGCGAACGTACCTCAATCAGATTGAGGACATTTTTAGCAAAGGCCAGTTTAAGAGTACCCTAATTAAGTTAATAACAATGTACCTACCTATATAGTTTAAGTTTTAAAAATTTGGCTCTCAAAATAAATTTCAATCGTTGTACTGTTGCTATTTGGCTCTCTTGACTAATGAGTTTGCCCACTATAAGGCAAAGTAAAACCACTTTATAACAAGCTCCTACAGGCTGGATGACCCCTAACCGAGTGGAGCTGGCCTCTCAGAAATTAGAAGTTAGAAGGATATGAAGCCGCATCTATCTTTTACAATCTATCTTTTACAATCCAGGCCACCATTGCCATTCATTCCACGTCACTGAATGAAGAAATAAAATATCTCCGAGCAGTCTCCTGTGAGGGCTGAGCTGCTCCTAATTGTTCAGGTCTAACTAATTAAGCAGCCCACTCCTGACTGTTCATGAAGGTGGATCAGGCCAAATCATACATCCTGAGGCATATACGCATCTCCCCAGCAGCTTTTCTTAAAAGGCAATGAATTCATCACGCTCCATATGCCCATGCTGCTTCATGAGGGATTGCCAGTTTCAGGGACGCGTGATGTGATCACCTCCACTGTCTTCTTAAAAACATTGCCAAAACAAGGAAATGACATGTGTCAACAGCAACCTCCTTCAGAACGCATTCTTTGGGCAGGCACACTTTGGTAGTTTCTCAAAGTGCTCTGACCTGGAGTTTGGTGTACAAAGAATCAGGCACACAAGATATAGACACTGTGATGAGAGGGAGAAAAATGAGTCCCATTTCTAATCAGCAGGAGACTTCCCAGTAAAGATGACATGAATCACAGACACTTTACAAATGCCTCAAGCTAACAACAGGGCATATTAGAGTCATCCTTATTCACAAGCAACCTTTTCTAGGGAGTTTACCATGAAGCATAATTTTAAATGGGTTTGTTCTTGGGAACGAAAGCTTTTTTTCCTTTTCTTTGCACTCCAGCTGAGACAGACTCAACTAGTTTGTCCTTTGATTATGCATACTTGCATCACTGACTGATGTTCATTAAAGTCTGGCCAAGCCTCCAGTGGCCCAGATAACTTCATCCTCACTGAGACACAAGAGCAAGAGCTTGCACAAAGACCATGGAAGGTTTCAAGATTGAGAGTGTGCTGGTGACTGGAAGTGATCGAGGGATTGGCTTGGGTCTGGTGCAGCGGTTTGTGGAGCTGCCGCATCCTCCTCAGCTCCTCTTCGCAACCTGCAGGCATCCTGAGGGCCCCGAAGGACAGGTGAGGAGACACAGGCTAAAACAGTTGAAGGTTCTCCTAGGTTTGTGGACCAGTCCACATCTCTCCTGGGACAGACTGGAAAGTTGAAACAGTCCAGGAGCAGGGTGCAGTGACTGGGCCTTACTGGGTTGACAGCACTGGTTCAGCTGTCACTCCATGGGACTGCTGCTGTGGTTTGGCTTGCTTCTAGTGCTGCCAGGTCCTGCTGGCCCCTGGCATGGGATCAGGTAGTACGGTTGTCAGATCCAGGTTGGGAAACTCCTGGAGATCTGGGGAAGGAGACTGGGGGTGGGGGACAGGGACCTCAGTGGGGTACAATGCTATACAGGGCACTCTCCAAAGCATCAATTTTGTCTGGGTGAACTGATCTCTGTAATCTGGAAATCTCCTGGGATTACAACTGATCTCTAGACTACAGAGATCAGTTCCTCTGATGAAAGTAGCTGCCTTATCTGCCGTCTCCAAGCCCTGTCCTCCCCAGGTTCCATCTTCAAATCTCCAGAAATCTCCCAACCCAGGACTGGCAACCAGTGTTCTCTCTAAGGTGAGTTAGTGTGAGCTAGCTCACAGTTTTCTAGCCTCTGGCTCACACCTTTTTGTCTTCGCGCAGGAGCCAAATTGCTCGCTCACAACTTTAATGCCAGTAGCTCACAAACTAAGAATTTTTGCTCACAAGAGTCCGCAGCTTAGAGGGAGCACTGCTGGCAACCCTGTGCTATAACTCTGATCAGAACCCACCACAGCAGTATAAATTTCCTCTCCAGAGGCAAGACTATGGGAAGTCCATCCTGGATACCTAAAAACAAAACAGAATACAGCATAGGCCCAAGAATAATGAATTCAGTCTAGTTTGACCAGGTTGCCTCCCTTTTCCTCTCTTTAATAGTAACTCACAGAAGGAAACTTCTTGGGTTTAGGCTGAACAAAAATGTGCTGACAGACACAGGTACTTGTATAGGCTGAAAGTGTTGGGCAAGAAAATTCTCCTGTGCCCAAAACTTGATAAATAGAAAAGAAAATTGTGTCCAGCCCAGTGTTCCCTCTAAGCTGAGTTAGTGTGAGCTAGTTCACACATTTTTGCCTTAGCTCAGGAAGGAGGGCTCCAGAGCAAACTAATTTATGCAGCAGCCGAATCGCTTGCTCACGACTTTAATGCCGGTAGCTCACAGAAATAGAATTGTTGCTTACAGGACTCCACAGCTTCGAGGGAACACTGGTCCAGCCTCTGTCTTAAATAGTACAGCAGTGATTCACCAATGCAGCGCTCATGGGAACCATGAGAATTGCTGAAATGCTGATTCTAGTTTTCCTCCACTTCACTGAAGCAGGAAACGTCTCCTTAGGGTCTACAGGGAACTCCTTTCAGGAAATAGCTTGGCTTGATATCTGCTAATTTGTAATTATCCCCATACAGCCATCTTTTTTGTGATTACCCTAAATGGTATTAGGGTTGCAAGCCTCCAGGTGGGGCCTGGGGATCTCCCACTTTCACAACTGATCTCCAGCTGACAGAGATCCACTCCCCTGGAGAAAATGGCTGCTTTGAAGGGTGGACTCTATGGAATAGTGCCGTGCTGAGGCCCCTCCCCTCTCCAAACCCCACACTCTCCTGGATTGACCCCCAAAGTCTCCAGGTATTTTCCAACCCAGACCTGGCAACCTACATGGCATAACAGCCATTTTGTGATGGTGTCATTACTCTCACTCAAAATACATCACAGAAATACCCACAGGTCATAGAGACTTAAACTTGAATAGAGAACAAGGCCTTTTTGGAGAACTAGTAAGGACAAGAAGCGGAGACCTGCGATACTCGCGGGGGAGGAGAAGGAGCTCCACGTGGAGGAGAAGCAGCTGCAGGTGAGCCTTCTCCCCTGCTCCTCCGCATCGATGGCGAGGCCCAAGCTCAACAATCCTCCCCCCCAACCCCCCCGGCACCGATGGGGAGGCCCATGTGGCTCCCAGCCGCCAGGCCAGCCAATCCTTCGCCCCTGCCCCCCCTGCACTGGTACCCCCCCCAAGTGCCCCCGATGTGCGGATTTAGATATCCGCATGGAGGGGGCAACTTGGCTATTAGATATATAGATTAGGGTTTAGAGGATGTATGCTTGGATATATCCGCATCAAATATATATCCCCCCCCCAAAAAAAAATTTATTGGTATTTTTTTAATGCATTTGGGATCTGGATAGATACATGAGAATCTCAACAATATTGGTATCCATACCCAGAATATCCAGGGCTGGTTGTTTAAGCACCAACATGGTTTTGTATGTGTGTGTGTGTGTGTGGGGGTGCTTGTAGGTTTCCTGGGCAACAGGAGAGAGGAGTAAAGGAGGCAGCTCTCACAGGCCAAATAAATTAAACCTTAAGGGGAGTTTTGTCTGCCCAATCATGGTCATTCTCTCACAATAGCTTTTTTCAAATTTTTTCTGACCATGAGCAAAGAGGATAAAAACAGACCTGGGCTGTGGCTTGACTCCATTACAGTGCAAGATTTTTTGGAGTGGCTGGTGTGCTTTTGGGTGCTCTGGTCTGCTCTGTGTGCCTCAGATTCTGGAATGTGGATCACTTCTGCCTGTCTGCATGAAGATCTGCTTTGGTTGGACTTTGTTTTAATTTTTTTTAACTATTATTTTAAGTTTTCCTGGGGTTTTTTTTGGGGGGGGGCAGCCTGATGGGTTATGGTGTGTGTTTGGGGATGGATGGATTGTGAGCTTTTGTTTTCTTTTTGCCTCTTTTTAATCCCAACTTTTTTAAAATAATAGAGAATTTTTTTAAATAATAGAGACAGACAGTATGTTCTCTCAGCTATATGTATCTTTGTGGCCAAAGTTATTCCTCAGTTGTTGTATGGCTCTCAGCTACGCACGTATGCTAATTACAGTGCTCTTGAAGTCATCCTGACTAAATTCCTGATAGCCAGACTAGCAGTCTCTCGCTGTGTTCCTAACACAGTTTTGTGTCTAGATGCAGGTTGAATCTCTCTAGAAGTTTATGACTGGATTCACAGGACTGATTACTGGTTAAAGCTTTTTTTCCCTCCTATAGGTCTGCACCTCTGACGTTAATAGTCACCTTTCAGTCAAAATGGAAACGGTCCCTCTCAGAGAAATTACCGTCCATTGGACATCTCCCAGCAATTTAATAACCTTGGGCTACTCAAAAGCTAAATCAGAAATTAAGCAAAGAATCTGGGATATCAAACTCCACCACCACTTAAGTCCACTGCAAAATACTGTCACCTTAGGAACAAGAAACTGGAGCTGTCAAATTATTTGGCTAGCTTTGGCCTGTTTTAATCCTCTCCCATCTGCCTTATTAGAAAGGAAGTACCTTAATATTCTGTTTCACAAGCATTTATGCCCCTGTGCTACTGAGGAAGTTGAAAAGGTTGGACTTGCATTTTTGTGTTGCCCATTTTACGATGACCTCAGATATGCTTTTATTCAGCTGATCCACCATAAAATTCCAGGAAGATCAGAGGGATAGTATACCTCTTTTCTTCTAGCTGTCCTTGAGCCTGGAACCTCAGGCACAGTGTGCAGCTGCCAGAGTCTACTGAGGTACACTGCTGATTTAGTGCGCCATATTTTCTGGTTTTGCATTTTTATTGTATTATCCATTGTGTATGTGTGTACACACACATTTAGAAGTTTCAGACCTGTCTTGTTGGTATGTCATTTTTGTTTGATTTTGCATATCTGATTCTGCTGGTCTTCGACCATAATAAACAAAACTTCAATTTCAACATGCAATTCAAGTACCAGGAGGACAGTGACACAGACAGTGTTATACTGGTTCCTGGTGCCAAGCTCACAGGCCACCTGCCAATGTACAGACAGAGAAAGTCAATGCTTTCCACTCCACTGGCAAGCCCAGAACCTTGGTGTTCCGTTGCTTTTTTTTTTTTAACAACCATTTTATTAGAGACCATAATACTACCTTTTCAAACTGAGTGTTTGTATCTTTAGGTGTTAAAGGAAATGGCTACCAGATGTTCAAACATCTCACGTCTGGTTGTACTGCAGCTGGGTAAGTATTTTATATGAGCAGTTCTGCTCACCCCCCCCCCACCACTCTTGACTGGGAGTGTCAAGCTAAAGGTGCGATTTTCTAGGATTAAACTGATCTCCAGACTGTCCTGGAGAAAATGGCTGCTTTGGAGGGTAGACTCTATGGCATTATGCCCTGCTGAGATCCTTCCCCAAATCCCATTCTCCCCAGGCTCAACCCCGAAATCTCCAAGTATTTCTCAGCCTACCGTTGGTGTTGTGTCTGCTGACCACCACCAGGGGCCAGCGAATATCCCAGAGCTCCACTGGGGAACCAATGGGCACCGTGGCGAGAGATTCAAACCCACCAACGGGGCCCAGGGGTGTGTCCCCAAGAGTGTATATAGTTTGCCTGCCGGCCGTTAGAGGCAGTTCGTGTTGTGTACCAATAAAGCGTGCTATGCACTATGCCAGTCTTTGTCCTTCGTCCATGCGGCTAACCCACTACACAATAATGGCGACGAGGATGGGATTCAGCCACAAGTAACCCGGGCCATCGAGGAGGAACGAGAGAATGCGCTCTGCAGCTGACCGATGAGCGATATAGCCGGAGAGGCTGCTTCTCCTCCACCAACTCCGACGTGCACAATGGCGACCGTCTCAGGGCTCGGCCTGCTGCCACCCTTCGACACAGCCCGTCCGCAAGACTGGACCGTGTGGGTCAGAGGCGTCAAGTCTGCTCTGGCGTTCTACAAAGTCACGGACGAGAATAAAAAGCGAGGTTTCCTCCTGGCCTCCTGCCATCGTGTCCCTGGTCGAACGCTTGCTATCTCCGACGGACCTCGATGCCTGCACCTTCGAACAGATCATTACGATGGTGCAGAACCACTACGCGCCGAAGCCGTCGGAACTGACCTGCCGGGTAGCGTTCTACAATCGCAACCAGCTGGCCAAGGAGACAGCCGCAGAGGTCCTGGCGGAGCTGCGCCATCTCGCCACTGACTGCAAGTTCGTGGCACATTTGGATGAGGCCCTTTGAGACCGCTTCGTCGTGGGCCTGCGCGAGGAGAAGCTCCAACGGCGGATCATGGAAAAGGAGGCCGTCACCCTCACCTCAGCCCTCTCCACTGCCATCGCCTGGGAACGATCACACATTGCCTCAGCTGCGGCCATGCAGGTCGAACCGGAGGATCCTGAGGAGCAGGACGTCCACCGGGTCTATGTAGGGCCCAGGCAGCACTCTCAAGCACCGCACCGCACTCCAGCCATGAACACGAGCGCCGCCTGCCAGCATTCCGGCGCTCCCGTGTGTGCCAGTTGCGGGGATCCGCATGATCGGAAGACCTGCCGGTTCCCAAACACCGCTTGCCGGACCTGTGGGCGCACTGGCCACATCGCAAGGGCATGCCGCTCCAAAGCATCGAGCCGGAACCAACCACCGTGTCCGAGGGCGGAAGCACACTTTGAGGACAACACGGGTGCTGAGGACCTCTACCACCTCATGCATACGACAGATAAGGTACTGCAACTCCCCGGGAAATCCCCCACCCCCAAAATTCTAGCCACAGTAACGATAGAGGGGTCCCCATGCCTTATGGAAATAGACTCCGGCTCCACGGCCTCAATAATCTCGGAAGCCACCCTCAAACGCCTGTGCCCAAAGGGGGGACCCCACTTGCGCCCAGCCCCGTTGACGCTCATGGACTTTCAGCAGAACAGGGTGCCGATTAAGGGGGTCGGGAGTTTCCGGGTGCAGTACAAGAAAATGAAGAGGAAGCTGGACTTAATCGTGGTCGAAGGTGATCTGGTCAGCTTGCTGGGGCGGGAATGGTTCGAGCCCCTAGGAATCTCAGTCGAGGGAGTCCAGATGTGCACCATCCAGGACTTCAAGGGAATTTGCCAGGAGTTTCCCACAGTTTTCGACGACTCCCTGGGCCGGTATACGGGCCCCCCGGTGTCCCTGCGTCTCGACCCAAAGGTGGCCCCCATCAGAAAGTGCGCCAGGACGGTTCCGTTGTTGGTCAAGCCTAAGATTGATGCGAAACTGGACCACCTTGTAGCTCAAGGCGTCCTGGAACCGGTCTCCCACGCGGTGTGGGAGACCCCGATAGTCGTAGTTAACAAGCCGAATGGGAAAGTCCGCATTTGCGTGTACTATAAATGCACGTTAAATAAGGCGCTACAGGACCACACATATCCGGTCCCTGTGGTTAGCCACGTATTGGCCACCTTGGGAGGGGCGAAGATCTTCGGCAAGCTGGATCTCGCCCAAGCCTACCAGCAGTTACCGGTGGATGAGGCCACTGCTGAGGCGCAAACAATAGTGACACACTGGGGGGCATTCAGGGTGAAGAGGCTGCAATTCGGGGTGAGCGTGGCACCGGAGCTATTTCAGCAACTGATGGACTCCCTTCTTAAAGGAATCCCTCGCGTCACCCCGTTCTTTGATGATGTGATGATCGCCGCCGCCACGCCGGCCGACTTCGCGGACCACCTCCGCGCAGTGCTCAGCCATTTCCAGGACGCCGGACTTAAAGTTAAGCTGGAGAAGTGCCGGCTGGGAGTGCCGTCAGTGGATTTTCTGGGGTTCACGGTGGACGCGGAGGGTCTCCACCCAACCCGTGAGAAAGTGAAGGCCATCGTGGAGGTGCCGCCGCCGAAGTCCAAGGTAGAACTGCAGGCGTTCTTAGGGATCCTGAACTTTTACCACGCCTTTCTTCCCCACAAGGCGGCGGTGGCGGAACCCCTCCATCGCTTGTTGGACAAGCAGGCCCCTTGGGTGTGGGGCCCCCAGCAGGCCGCCGCGTTTCGGAACGTCAAGGGTCTTTTAATTTCCAACGCGGTCCTGGCCCACTTCGACGAGTCACTACCGGTAGTTTTGGCATGCGACGCCTCGCCCTACGGCATCGGGGCTGTGCTGGCGCATCGCCTACCTGATGGGCGGGAGGTCCCGGTCGCGTATTACTCGCATACTCTATCAGCGGCTGAGCGGAACTACGCCCAGATAGATCGCGAAGGACTTGCAATTGTAGCCGGGGTAAAGAAATTTCATGACTTCGTTTACAGCCAGCCCTTCACCATCGCCACAGACCACCGCCCACTCCTTGGCCTGTTCGAGCCCGATCGCAGAACGCCGCAAGTTCTCTCCCCGCGAGTCTTGTGGTGGACCATTTTCCTGGCGGGCTACGACTACCAGATTGAGCACCATCCAGGTAAAGCCATGGGCCACGCCGACTACCTTAGCCGCCTTCCCCTGCCAGATGTCGTGGAAGACCCAGCCCCAGTGCACCGGGTCCTCCAGGTGGAGGACCTCCTGGACGCACCGATCCAGGCCACCGACATTGCCTGCCGCTCGACCCAGGACCCCATCTTATCCCGTGTGCTGGGCTGGGTGGTGAGGGGGTGGCCTACGAAGGGGGAGGGGGCAGAGTTCACGGCGTTCACAGCTCGCAGAGATGAGTTGTTGGTGCACAAAGGCTGCCTGCTGTGGGGAGACAGGGTTGTGGTCCCCAGCACCCTTAGACAAAAGGTTCTACAGGCCCTTCACGAAGCACACCCAGGCATCGTGCGGATGAGAGGCCTCGCCCAGAGCTACGTTTGGTGGCCAGGCATCGACGCTGAGGTGGAGGCGTGGGTAAAACGTTGCCCTACCTGCCAAGCTGTGCGACCCAGCCCGCCGGGTGCACCGTCCCAGTCCTGGGAATCCACACGCACCCCGTGGTCCCGGCTCCACATTGACTTTGCCGGACCATTCCATGGACTGCTATTCCTGGTGACTGTGGATTCCTACACCAAGTGGCTGGAGGTAAGCCCCGTCTCTGCAACATCCACGAAGGCCACCATCCACGCCCTCCGACAGATCTTCGCCACACACGGCCTGCCAGACACCATCGTCTCGGACAATGGGACGACGTTCACGTCGGAGGAGTTCCAGCAGTCCCTCAGCGGCAACCTGATCAAGCACATCAGGTCAGTGCCCTTCCACCCCGCAACCAATGGCCAAGCAGAACGAATGGTCCGGACGATGAAGGAAGCGCTGAGCCGCCTGTCGGAGGGAAACTGGGAATGGCAAATCGCTCAGTTCCTCTTAGTGCAGCGAATCACGCCTAATCCTGTAAGTGGCTGCTGCCCAGCGGAGCTCCTCATGGGCCGGAGACCAAGAACCCTACTGGACCGCCTGCACCCAGATCAGGCTCCAGAGCCCCGGAACATGCCCGATCAGCGGTAAGCGCCTCGTGGGTTCTTCCCAGAGGACCCTGTCTTTGCCAGGAACTATGGCAGGGGCCTAGCATGGCTAGCGGGCTGCATCATTCGTCCAATGGGCACCATCATGTATGAGGTACTGCAGAGGCACATTGATCAGCTCCGGCGGCGCATGCTCCCTGAACACCCAAGCGAGGAGGGTCCGGAACTACGGTCAGCCCTCAAGAGGGGCGCACAGGACTCCACCGAGCAGGACTCTTCCCCGGAAGAGCATCCGATCAGTATCCCAGGGCCTCCGGCGGCCGCAGAATAGACCACGGTTACCGGTGCTGAAGGCCCAGAGGGACCCCCACCAGCAGCACACCCCGACGCAGCGGATGGGGGCCCAGAGGTCCCAGTACTGGCTCCCCGACGGTCCACGAGAGAACGGCGGTCCCCGTCTTATTTAAAGGACTATGTGACTTAGGGTGGTTCCGAACTATGGGGGGAGGGATGTTGTGTCTGCTGACCGCCACCAGGGGCCAGCGAATATCCCAGAGCTTGACTCTGGGATAACAATAGGGACTAGGCTCCTAGTCCCTCCACTGGGAAACCAATGGGCACCGTGGCGGGAGATTCAAACCCACCAACGGGCCCAGGGGTGCGTCCCCAAGAGTGTATATAGTTTGCCTGCCGGCTGTTAGCGACAGTTCGTGTTGTGTACCAATAAAGCGCGCTATGGACTATGCCAGTCTTTGTCCTTCGTCCATGCGGCTAACCCACTACACAATAGTTGGCAACCCAGCACTTGCCTCACTATTTACAATAGGAAATCACCTGTTATATTTTAATCCACCCTCCCTTCAAGAAAAAGGTTTGCCCTGACCTGGATAGCCCAGGTAAGCCCCATCTTGTCAGATCTCAGAAGCTAAGCAGGGCTGGCCCTGGCTAGTATTTGGATGGATGGAAGACCTTCAGGAAATACCAGGGTTGTGACATGGAGGCAGGCGATGGCAAACCACCTCTGAAAGTCCCTTGTCTTCAAGCCCCACTAGGGGTCACCAGAAGCCAGCTTGACTTGATGGCAAACAAAATTTTAAAGAAGGAAAACTCAGGTTCCATGCAGCTCCCCCACCATTTTTGTCTTCACAGTGACCCTGAGAGCTAGATGAGGCAAAGCCACAGTGTGGATTTGAACCCAGGTGTCTCCAGCCTACATCCAATAACTCTGTCCAGTTCTATACCAACAACTCTCCACTACTGCAGAATTAAGATTTTAACACACTATTATGTGATTCCCCACTTCTCTAAACGGGGAGAAGTTCCGGGGATAGATTGCAGCTTGATTGTTTCCCTTTTGGAGGACCGAGTACTTGAGACTTGTGACATTTTGCATCAGTTGCTTTACAGATATGGAGGCCCCGAGGCAACACAGTCACTTCCCCACATGAGATATCAAGAGAAACCCTGCACTCCTAAAGTGCTTTAGGCAACTCAAGTACTGACTGCTTCTCTGTTTCTTCCATAATCTCAAGTTGCATTTTATTTTCTTTCTCACTCCACACACACACACACACACACACAGCTCTGCCCCTGTCCTTGAGGAGGGCAGCCTTGTTGCCTACTTGGATAGACTTATTTATTGACTCTGTAGGCCCATTTCAAGAGACAGCTACAGTAATTAAGAAACAGACTCTGGCTCCCCCAAGGCACTGCTGTAGGCTAAGCCCATCATGGTGCTTATTTTGGGTCCTGACTTGGATGGCCCAGACAAGCCTGAGATCTCGGAAGCTAAGCAGGGTCAGCCCTGGTTAGTACTTGGATGGGAGACCAAAGAAATCCAGGGCTGCCACGCAGAGGCAGGAGAAAATGGCACGCCATCACTGTACGCCTCTTGCCTTGAAAACCTTACAGGATTGCCATAAATTGGCTGTGACTTGATGGTACTTTTCCACCAACACCATTTTTAGTCCTGTCCTTGGACAGGACCTTCTTAAATCCTTCTGTTTCTCTCTGCCTAGATGTCACAGATCCTCACAGTATCAGAGCAGCTGCTGAGGAAGTAGAAAAGTATCTTGCAGGACGTGGACTCAACTTGCTGATCAACAATGCCGGCATTGCTTGTGCAACCACTCTGGCCTCAGAGACGGCTCAGAGCATGGCAGCTGTGTATGCCACCAACACCATCGGGCCCATGCAAGTCTGCCAGGTACGGGCACAGCAGACAGGCTGGCTGACATTCTTGGAAAATGCCTCAGCCATTTGAGAGCCACCAAAAACCTCTCTAAGGGAGGAGGGGTTCGCAGAGGACCAGGGCCAGTGCTTGCTTGGGACAGAGGTAACTACCATCGGGAACAAGACCAGAACAGCAGGGGGGTGAGGGGAATTTGTTGGCTTCAGAGTGGACTGAATCAAAGCAGACTTTTTACAGAATGGGTGCTGTTTTCCCTCTCTCTTGCCAGGCATTCCTGCCTTTGCTGAAAAGAGCTGCCCTCAGGAACATCTGCCTGGAGATGTGCTGCAGCAAGGCGGCTATTGTGAATATGTCCAGCAGCTATGGCTCTATCGCTACTGTTGATGAGTGGGAATGGCACCAAGATATCAGCTACCGCTGTAGCAAGGTACAGGAGCTGGGATGGCCCTCTATTGCAGAAGCCAGGGCCAGAGTGAAACTATAATCTGCCCTTGGTAGGATGAGGACAGAAGGAAGGTGTTTCCAGGCAGAAGGTACCCCCGAACCTCCTGGCACAGAGGGTACTGGGACCTAGAGTAACCGTGTAATTCTACTGCTGCAAAAATAAAGAGTCTTGTACCACCTTTGAGATTAACAAATACACTAAGAGAGTGTTATAGGTTAGCACTAAGAGATTTGCACCATCTCTCCCAAACGGGCAGGACAGGTTGGACTCACCTACTGGTGGGTGCTCTTTGCTGGCTCAGGCAGTTGCGTGACTTGCCTACCTGACCCATGAGCCAACCCTAAAGAAATCAAGAAGTGGAGCAGGGTAGGTCGCAGCAGCAGGACCTGGGAACCCCAACAGGCAATTCCCATTCAGCCACTGAACATTTGGCACATTAGCCCCTTCCAGTTTCAGGTAGCAACTTGCCTTGCCTGTAAAGTGGGAACCAGAGACGAATTTCAGTTTGTTCTTAGTTTTTGTTCGCACTGTTTTCTAATTCTGTACTCCTGGTTCTATTGCAGTTTAGTGGATAATCTTGTGCTGTTTAGCTGTATTGTTTATAATACTATAATTCTAAGTTGAGCTTCAGCAAGAAAGGTGGGCTACAAATAAATTGTACTGTTGGATTTATGGGAGATGAAGGTTGGCTCCTTTAAGCTGAGTCACATGGAGTCACTTTCCCACTGCTCATTAGGGAGTTACTGGTCGCGGGGCTGTTCACTGCTGATATGTGTAGGGCTGATGTCCAGGATCGTATCTTGGGACAAGGAGTTGGCCTGTAGATCATATAATAAGATGGTGACAGGAAGAAGGCAGGAGAGGCCATGGCCCTCTGACAATGTGAGTCTGATCTGCCTACCCAGGGGTCCCCAGTGTGGTGCCCATGGGTGCCATGATGCCTACCAGCACCTTTTCTGGCACTCACCGTGTTTGTAGGAAGAGGGCAGGACCAGGTGGGGCTTTTGCAAGGTTTATGATGGGCCATTGGAGATTAGATTGGCTGAGCAGATTTTTTAAAAAAACATTGCTTTGGCAGCAGCTGACACCACAGCAAAAGGATCTTCATTGTGTGACTAAAGGTAAGCTATGGCAGCTGTTTTGTTGTGACTGGCTCTGCCTCCTATGGCAGCCATTTTGTGACTGGCTCTATCTCCTATGGCACCTATATTGTGGCAGCCATTTTGTGGCTGTGCCCACCATGTGGTGCCAGAATTCCAAAGGTGCTCACAGGCTCAAAAAGGTTGGGGACTCCTGGCTTAACCATTCAGTCCAGTAACTATGAATGGAATTCAGGACTAGCAAATCAATGGTCAGCCACTATACCTGCAGATCAGGGCTGGACCCTGACAGTGCCCAGTACTACTGAACAAGCCTGCTCCAGGCACAGTTTGCCAAGTTTCTCACCAGATCTTAATTCCGAGTTGCAGAAATGTTGGATCTTCCCTCTGTGCTTCTCCTGCAGGCTGCTTTAAATATGCTCACCAGGTGTCAGTCCCGGAGTTATGGCATCTGTGGGATCCTGTGTGTTTCCCTCCACCCGGGGGATGTGAAAACCCACTTGGAAGCAGAAAAGGTAAGTGTACAAAACACTGGGAACCAGGAATGAAGGTGTCTGGGAGCACCACCTTTTGTTTTCTGTCATGCTTCCACTATGAATCTGCGCAACTATGAAAAGTAGACGCCGACAATTTTCAAGCTAGGGCTTGATCAAGCACTAGCTGCGGTGAGGTGCGCTTGTGACATTGATTTCAGATTGCCCAGCTCTAAGGAATCATCTTGGAAGCCCTTATTTGAGTAATTCACCCTTTGAACGTAAAGACAATTGATTGAGATACATCACTATGGGTGCGTTCAGACGGGGTGTTTCAGCCGGCATAAACTGTACCGGTTGGAACTGTTGCAGTTTATGCCAGCTGAAACGCGATCACACTTACCTCCTGTCTGCGGAGCCCATTGCTGTATGCCCGTTCACACACAACGGGTGTCGGCAGTTTTTTTTAAACTCAGTTTGCGCATGCACATAGGCACAGAATGGCATAATCCACAGAATGGCGAACTTTGCGCATGCGCAAAACACCCCATCCCGAAAAGCATGCCCTGAAGAGAGGACTTACCTTTAAAGTTTAAAGAGCAAACTGGCCTCCCTGAGGTCCCAGACTCCTCTGAAACGTTAAACTAAGGACATTTTCTTTTTTTTTTAAACAAACGCTAGGGCGAAGCTTCACCCAAGCGCATATCGCCAACCTAAAAAAAATGGTGGGTGAAAATCGGAAGCCTCGGGCTTCCAAACGGAACTGGCTCCGACGGGGGGGGATGTGGCGGGGGGGGGGGGGGGGGTAAAGCGATTACAACCGTTGCACTCAGGATACCACCACTTGGGGACCTAGTGGCAGAATACAACGGTTTAAAGCTCTTTGCAATGGTTAGGGACAGAAGGCAGATGTTCGCCGTGTGAACGCCAGTGAGTACACAGATTCCAACTGGCACCTATACCGTTGCAAATGCCCCGTCTGAACGCACCCAATGAGTATCAATTTGCTTCCATTGGCTTAGCCAATCTGATGTCACAGAAGGGCAGGTAAATAACTGGGGGCTTCAGGAGTTATTGCACTCATTCAAAAATTAATTCTAAGCAAGTTTTGATAACTTAAATCCCTATGTTATCAGTGGCAGGAAGACACAGGTTTTTGTTGGTGTATGCAAGCGCTGGAGTGTTTTTTCAAAAGGCTGACAACACACTGCTTATTTATGTGATAAATACTCCCATGTCATCCTGCATTGCATGAAAGCTGGCAGGAGATCATCTTTAATGAAAGACTATTGCAATCTCTGCCTCATGGCCTGAAAAGCCTCAAAGGACTTGCTGTTGGACACTCTTGGAATGGAGGTCAGTACATAACCAGCCCAGGACAAATCACTGTGGGTTGCTGAGTGCAAATCCCAGGGACGAGGGTTGCTCTGCCTGTGCTAGCTACCATACCAAACTCTCTGCTTTCTGGCCGAATTCCCAAGGAGAAAACAACAGCATTCTGATAGGATGGGGCAGGAAGCAATCCGGACACACCAGTTCCAGCTCTTTGGAACAGCTATCGATATATCACTGCAGACTGGCTGTAAGTTGCCATCCAACCAGAATGGTAGCTACGTCATGTCTAAAGGCAGAGGTTCCAATGGCAGTATGAGGACCAAGCAGGGTAAAGGAAAAGCAATGTGTCCTAGAAGCAAGGTGTCTGGTTGAACAGAAAGAGACTCCTGAGTTGAAGGAGGGGGGGGAGAAGCATGCTTCTAGCCCTGGGGGCAGCAGAGATGACCAAACAAAATCCCGGAGTAGCTGGTCACACAGTCAAATCCTTTTGAAGTCCACTGAGGCTGAAGTACTTTGCTGAGCCCTACCAAAACCCAGCAAGGTGGGGCACAAGCTCTTCAGCAAGTCTTTCAAGACGGTACATTTCAGCCTTGTGGGACTATTTTTCAAGGGACTGAAATGAACTTTGCTATATGCTGAATTGTGCACTCTTGATACAGTGCTTATTTAGACGCTGGATTGTGGCTGGCATCTGGCAATGCCCGTCACTGGACCACCTCGTGTGATGCAGCAGTGAAAAAGGCTGAAAAAGCCATGGTGACTGAAGGGAACTTCCACATTCAGAAGCACGAATTCTCTGTATCCCAGAGCCAGGACAGGAGGCAACATCAAGGGAAGGCCTCGGCCTCTATGCCCTGTTGTCGCTCTGTGTGAGACAGGATGCTGGGCTAGATGGACCACTGGTCTAACCCAGCAGGGCTGTTTTGATATTGTTAACCCAGGACTAGCAGCAGCTCTTCGAGGTATGGATTACTCGCAGTCCTGCTCCTTGCATTCTGCTCCTTGCATTCCTTGAACACAAATGGGTGCACCGTGGACAAAACTTGGGAGACCTCATCTATGCAAAACATGCACTCTGCCACTGACCCCTGGCGCGACAGAGCTGCTGCTAGCCAGGCCAAATTAAGTCTCAATTCTTAATACAGTTTACTGTCCCAAGTGGAAAAACAAATGCTGAAATTTGATAAGGCTCATGTTTTGGATTACAAAGTTGGAATTTAAGGGGAGGGGGAAAATTACGTTTACTGAAGAATGCTTCAGCAGATCTCTCTAATCCTGCTTTCTCCATCAAACCTGCTTTGGTTACGTTTCCCATGCTTCTGTGCTGCAGAGGATACAACATACACACTGCAGGTCCTGTCCCACTTGCTTTCTCCTCTCCCTGTGCACCCTTTCTTGCAAAGTTACTGGGCTATTCAACATTCTTCCTCACTCACTTTGCTACAGCTCAGTCTTGAACAGACTTGGGATTAGGTGTCTCACTCTAAGAACTAACCTACCAGTGCCGTCCTCTCCCATGGGCATCATTCGAGATCTAGTTGAATCCCTGTTGACTTTTAAATAAATCAAGCAGCAGCTCTCCTGCTGCTGTACTTCTGTGACCCACTGGTCTTCCTTTCCTACCCTCACCCAATGCAACTTCACCTGACCTTGCCTTCTCCTGTCTCAGCATTCTTTGAGGCTGTATATCACCAGTCTTGATTCTGTTCTTCCACGTAGCTCTGTAATGGCCAATCAGAATTTAGCTGGTCACCACCTGATACATACACTGTCACCCTCTTTCCCCCCTAGGGAGTATTGACTGTGGACTCCAGCACAAGAGGAATCCTGGAGCTGCTTTCCAGACTCTCTGCTAAGGACAATGGGGCCTTTTTAGACTGGAGAGGACAAACAGTTCCTTGGTGAGGAGGCCAGAAGTAAAAAAAACCACCCTGCTTAAATCCTGTGTGCGTTCCCCCCAAAAAAAAATGCATTTAGGACAGCAAGAAGCAGGAGGCTCCAGAGGCCGAGGCCTTCGGGGCTATATTTGAAGAAATTAAAAATAGATGCTTGTCTTGAACAAGACCAGATTTCTCCAGTTGTTAATTGCTTAGGAGCTTCGGTGAACTTGTTAATAGATTCTCAAGGCCAGCATGCGACCAGTTCTCTCACATTTATTTGGTCTCATCCCCAGGCTTATGTATTTTTTCACTCTGGAGTTTCATTTACCAGAAGAACGGGCAGTAGGAAGCAGGGGAGGGGGGCATGGAAACATTGAGCTGCAGTCCCTGCTTGGAGAAAAACATAAACACACATGTTAAAAAACAACAACCCTGTGCACACTGAATTGATAAACTGGAGAATCCATATGGGACTTTATGCTGCCTTTTCCTCAATCACCCCTTGTGGCTGCCATTCCCCACCACCAGAAGGAATTCTGCCACTTAAAAAACAAAAGTTGCTAGTTGCTGTACTATTATAACATTATAGGAATAGAGCATGTACCAATGTCAGGGGAAAAAGGCAACAAAAAGCCCCCCCGGTGGCTTTGGAGGCAATGATGGCTGCAAAGGAATGACAGCTACAATATGGTGCCAACATGGGCAGGTTTGAATATCCACCAGCTTCCCACCCACAAGGAGTGCAAACCCACTTTGACTGCAATCTTTTTGGAAAGACTGTAGCAAAACAGATTTGGGAAAGATCACAGCAAGGCATGAGAAAAGGACAATCACAAGTAAAATGTGAACGCTTCAGAGGGTTCCAGTTTGGTTGCCAAGGCAGAGAACGTGTGTGGAAGGAGACCTAGCCACAGCAGTCTGACGTTCTTTCCACAAAAGGATGCCCCCTGATCTGCCGAGAGAGATCCTTTCCTGAACACCCCTCTCCCCCTATTTGCTTCCTATGAGTCTAGGGAGACGGGTGTAGTCAGACACAACAAAATGGTAGGACAAACACTGGGCCAAAGAAGCCTGCATGGCACTCTTCATAGATCTACCATTTAATTTATTGTCTTTTTGTAACAGTAGGTGTAAATACTGCATATGCAGCTTTGAAATGGGAGTTTCAGTGGGGACCGTTTCAGCTAGGAAAAACAGCGGGGGGGGGGAGGCAGGTGCCCTTCCCTACCTGATGCTGTGGCTCAAAGCCAAATCAGGCCCCTACCAGTTTTTAAAAAGCCATTCCCTTCTGCTGTTGTGCAGCTGTGGAAAAAGCAGGTTGGGTCCAGACCTGACTCGTTATAAATTGTATTCTGTACTTTGGCCCCCAGCATCAAACTGCTGTGGAGGCTTTTCAGCACTCAGAAAGAATGGTTAAATCTTTGCTGTTATGGTGCCCTTTGACAGCTGCTTTGTTCTCTCCTTAGCAAGACGTTCGGCTGGAACTTCTTTCAAACTTTGGCTTTTTTAAAAAAGACATTCATGCCCTGACCTGTATATCCCAGGCAAACCCAATCTTGTCAGATCTCAGAAGCTAAGCGGGGCTGACCCTGGCAAGTATTTGGATGGGAGACCTCCAGAGAATACCAGGGCCAGGAGGCCAGAGGGAGGCTATCAAGCCACTTCTCTGAATGTCCTCCGTGCCCCAGTAGGAGTCGCCAGAGGTCGCCATGACTTCCAGGCACAGGCGCACACACACACACAATGCAAAAACAAGCAAACAAACAAAAAGACATGCACGAGGTGTTCAAATGGCTGGACAGACACAGACATGACTGATGGGAGAACAGGAAAAGGGAACTGGAAAAGAGGGAGTGATGAGCTACGGGTAAGAAGCTAAATCTGCCAAACCAAGGGAGTCCTAGGAGGTATGCAGTAGAGAAGTTCGGCCCTGCAAAGTCTTGTTCAGGTTATTGAACAAGGGCATTCAACAAAAAGGGGGGGAGGCGCCTCCTGGTATATTGTTGGGAAACCATTCTATCCTTCAGTACAGATGGGGTTGAGAAAAGGTTCTGTACTAGAGTAACAGTGTGACAAAAGACAACAATTAATGGGACCCATCTTGAGCCACATTCCTAAGCCAATTGTCACATTGCAGGAGAAACGTATTGAATTATTTATTTCAACTGAGGTTGGCACGCCTGCAAGACTAGGGCCACATGCATGAATCCACCACCTGCAGCATCCTGGTTATACTACTATTTTTATTTATTTTTTTGCAGTCAAGTCACAGCTGACTTATGGAAACCCCACGAGGTTTTCAAGGCAAGATGTTCAGAGGTGGTTTGCCACTGCCTGCCTCTGTGCCATGACCCTGGTATTCCTCAGTGGTCTCCCATCCACAGGGCTGACCCTGCTTAGCTTTTGAGGTCTGCTGAGATCAGGCTAGCCTGTGCATGCTCCTATTTGCATGTAAACCAGGAGGCAAATGAGGCAGGCTGAGCCACTGGGTCCATCACAGTGAACCTGCTTGATCTGGTCTGGAAGCCATCACTGGGGAATCCAGCAGGGCGTGAAGCCCCCCCCCCCCCGAGTTTGTACTACGCATACATCTACGCAGTATTTATGTCAGTGCCAATAACTAGCTATACTGGATTTTTAGTGGCCTACGCAGACACACCATCCCCTCCTGACAAGCTTGTTTTCAGGACAACTGACACCTTGAACCTCTGTTAAAGAAACAACAGAAATCAGCGAGAGAGATCGGGTACAGATTTTTATTTTGTACAACAGAAGACAAAATAAATCCAGTCTCTTCCAACTGTAATGTGATTTTTTTTCCTTTAAAAAAAATGCAAAAATGGAAGGCAGCACAGTTGCATGTAATATTGGTACTGAAGAGTAAGCAAATAGGACGAGGGAAAATAAAAGTGATTTTTTTTAAAGTTTGGAGCCATGGTTTCCTTAGCTTATAAAACTGTTGATTTAGAAGAGATTTGAATATGGAAGTAACAAGATGCAGTGGCAACGGGCAAGGCTTTCATTCAGACAAGCTGCGGCAGGGAGACAAGCTCTTGCACAGGTTTTATAAGGCTCCAAAAGCCTTTAAACGCCCCACCCCAAATGTCTGGTGCCTACACAGCAGCTGCAACCATTCAGCAGGGAGTTCTTCCAGAATGCCAGAGCTGGTGCCAGTTAGTCGGGATATTACCCTCTCCAGATGAGCCTGCCTTCACTCTTCTTGGGCCACACCATGGTCACACCCAAACCTCTCAACAGTGGCAAGCTCAATTCAATTCACAGCCAGCCATTTGGATTGCCGTGAAAAACCATACTGGGGTTTACCGGCAAGCGCCAGGGGCTCTTTCATCCTAGCTACAGCCCCAAGGCCCAAAGAGAGCTGAAGGACGCATCCCGCAGGTCCTAAACAACTCTTGTAACCAGCAGAATGGCCGACTGGAGACAGAATCAGAGCTAAGAGAAAAAGGGGTCTCAGTGGGGGTTTGCCTGGCAGGAAACACTGCAGTACTTTGCCTGGGATGCAACTCCATCCTGACCTACAGGCATGTTGGCTATGCTTTGAGGCTGCAGCTCGCCTTCTGCTATCCCTCCCTAGGTCCTACGTTTTGTTTCTCTGATGAGTGATGTTCTCCGTACAACACTGAAGCAAAGCAAGCTGGGTAAGACCTACTCAGTTAGTGGAGGAGTTGCCTAGTTTAAGTTTCCAGTGGTACAACCCCACCCCCACCCCGTGTCAGGAGTGTGCAGACATCACCAGGATCATGTCATTTCTCGGGAGGAGGGGTGGTGGCAGGGGGGGGGAAGTGTCACACAGTAAGCAGGAAGCAGCTGATGGCTAAATCAAGACGGGATCTAGGAGAGCCACACTTAGGATTCCTTGTGGAATCCTCAACACGAATGAGTAGCCCCACGTGGATGTCTTGAAGGTTGGGGAGAGAGGTTAGCCTTTAAGGCTCATGCTGTTGTGTCGATGTAAGTCTGGCTCCAAGGTGCAATCAGCTTCACAGAGGGGAAAAGGGTATATTGCCTCCCTCTCCCCATGAAGTGATACAAATAGGAGGGAATTCCCATCGAGACAATAAGCACGAGATGGAAGAGTTAACTTCCCCGCCTTCCCTGCTCTTCAAAGCACCCAGGTGAGGTTGCTATGCTGTGCTTGTCCCCACCCCACCCCCTCACCTCTCCACACTAGTTCAGGGGGATTCCAAGCACCACTCAGGTACATCAAACTAAGCATGCCCACAGGACTCCCTAGCCTTTTATGCTCTCTTCTTGGCAATCCAGGTTCTTCTCTGTGTTGGAACGGGGTGGGGAGCAAATCAACTCCCCTACACAATTCTTGCCTGTTGCCTCTGCAGACAAGTTTCCTCAAGTACAATCCAGCAGTTATTGTGAATACGCCCACCCGTTCCCCACAATCTTGTCTCCACCGGCCCTTTGTTTCTGCATGCTCCAAGCAAGGATTAAGTGGCAGGGCAGAGCCTGGCTCTCTGTGCAACAGGAGAAATTACAAACCGTTTGCATAAGAGAGCAGATGGGGGGGGGAGTTTTCAGCTCCAGGAGACACCGAGAGATGAGAATCTTGCGCTGTGCACATGGCCTCAACACTGAATGGTCTGGAACGTCTCCTGTGGCTCACTCCCTGACTGTCCTGTCCCTTCTGCTATTGAGAAGCCAGGCAGGGACTGCTTAACAGAAGCTCCTCTCTCCTTCTGAGGACTGTAAACTTAAAACTATCACAAGGCAGTACAGGAGACCTTGGCCAGCCAACCCCAAGTACCTCCTGCGTTTACAAAGAGAAACCCCCAATGCCCCCAACATAGAAAACAAGAAAGGAGCAGCTGCCGAAATAGTCAAGGTGTGTGTATGTGTGGGGAACTCACAGAGACACCTGTGCAGCAAACAACTCCGAGGTCCGGTGCAAGAACTGAATGTAGCAGACAGCGCAAGTCAAGGCACTCTTTGTTGCTTGGGATTGGCTTGCCCCCTGAACACCTACCACGCCCCAAAACAGCCCATTTTGGAAATTTATTGGCAAAAAAAGGTAAGGAAAAGAGGCGCCTGTCTCTTTGCCTGATTTATGGAAAGGAAGCATGAGAACATTCCTGTTCATGCAACTCGAGGAAGGGCTTGGTTGTTCTGTAAATACAACAAGAAGCTGCAACTGAGATGCCGGGTGTCAGTGTGACCGCCTGGAAGGTTACTCTGGTCAACCTTGAACCTCCCCAGATGGCTTCTTGGCAACCTTTTTGCAAGACTGCCTTAAAGGCATTAGCAGAATATTTCCATTTTTTTCCATTAAAATTAAACATTCTTACAGATCTGGATCATCTTGCTCTGGCCTTAATGGTGAGGCCAAAAAACAAGGTGGGAGGACTTTGCCCAACCACCAGGATGGTCCTAATCTCTGAAGAGTTCAGTGCTGCCAAAGAAGCCCCAAAATATGAGGTCTAAGATAAAAATTGGGGATAAGGTTAGCACACACACTCTTAAAAAGGAGGTTTGAGTCCCTATTGGAACAGGAAGCCAATGGGCTTCCTCCTGGATCAATGATGTGCTTCTCCAGGCCTTCTCAATTCAGCTACATTTCTTACAAAAGGAATACTTATTTAATACTGTTTGGCATGATTGCACTTCAAAAGATTCATTGAATTCTTCAGGCTCTTACCCTTCAATTAAAAACAAAAACAAAACAGCAACTGGAAGAAGAGAGCACACCTAACCCAACCTTTTTCTATTTTTCGGGTTCCACCATGTGTCCACACTGGACAGCAAAGCCCTCCCCCCATTCTTAAGTCAAACTGTGTTCCTCTCTTTTCTTCTCTGGGTAGAAAATAAGGAGCTTCACCCACAAATTCATCTCCCCCTCCCCCCAAATAAATGCAGATGAGCTGGAGACTGCTGTCGATGCAAAGGGAAGAAGGGGCCAAAATAGAAATGCCATGACGTGGTTCAAAGAAGAATCGCTAGTGCCTATCAGCCGACACGCCACTGCACGAAGTCTCTGAGGAGGGAATTAGCTCTTCAGCTGGGCACAAATTGGGGCTTTTGAGCGACTGGAAGGCAGCTTACTCCAGCCCACCTTCCTTATTACATGCCTATCACCAGCCCAGGGACAATCTGAGCAAAAGCGCAGGGCAAAAGAAGGTAGAGGTAGAGGAGGAAAATAAACCCTGCTTTGATTATGGGTTAAACACAAAGAAATTATTTGCCAAGACAGAAGGATCCCCCACTCGCTCAAACCCAGAAAGGTGGCAATCTTGAAAGTGGGTGGGAATGGAAGAAGGGTTCAAAAGTCACAGGATCTACCAATTTCAGTGCCTTTGGCGTGGTGTCCTCTTCAGTCCCAGGCTGGACACCCTCTTCTTCCTCATTGCCGGTGGCCAGCTTTGCTACCCGCATATGGCCACTCAGCTCATCCAGGACAGAGTCCTTCCGCTCCCATCTCTCCCCTACAGCCAAATAAAAAGTCTTCCCATGAGCAGAATACTTGACTCTTGCAAGCAAGTTTCTTCTGAAAGTTCACACGACTGTTAACCACAGATATGATCAAATCTGTTCTGTATTTTAAACCTGATTGTTACAAAAGAAATTCCCTGGGCAAAAGTGGGAAGCCATTGTCGTTTTATCAAAGGAACGCTGATTGTGTGTGTGTTTTTTAAAAAAAAAAAAAAAGTCTGTCAAGATTTTAAGTGCTTCTTCTAGCAGTCCTAGTTGAAGCTTCCAAGAAGGCCAAAGAAAGAAAAGCCTCACTCTTGGTGATTAGTCTGTGCTCAAGCATGCCAGCAAAGGGAGAATGAATGGCAGCCCTTGGAGACTTTGGGAAAAGAGGAGAAAAACCTGATTGACAGCTGGTTAATCTTCCTCTCCCGCCTCTTTGGCTGCTTCGTGTGTTCCTGCTTTTTATCCTCATTCAAAGACCAAAAAAGTGCAGCATTTGGTTTTAATTCATGATTTGGGGGGGGGAGAGCTGGAAGCTCGCAGCTTGATTGCAAAACTCAATTCATTTGTAAATCCATCAGATTTGGAAAAAGAAAAATTCCATTTTTCATTCTCTTTAAAGATAAGCTCCCTCACTATGATTGCTTTCAGGAACAAAATATCCCAGTTTGCTCCTCGGGGTCTTCTTCTTCGGGTGCAGACAACCCAGGGTTCATCTCATTGGGCTGGGGGGGAGGAGGAGATCCGGCAGCCAACTCACCCCTCCCCCCCGAGAAAGCAAGCTATCACAACTGGCCCATCCGCTGAAGGCCAACCCCAAAGCTAAGCTGGAAGATGTCGCCTGGGGGGGTGGGGTCAGTTGCCGCGATAGACATCAATCTTGTTTGTCTTCTCCAGCATGTCAATGATACCGGCCTCAAAATCGGCATCATGCACACCAGTTTTCCGAAACTCCCCGGCATAGCGATTGTTCTCCCAGTAATGATGCCAGTTGCCACGGCTGTCTGCCCCAAATCCAAAGACATTCACCTGTAGCCAGTGACAGAGAACAATTCTGTAAGAACATCAGATGATCCCTCCTCAAGCAGACCACTTAGTCCAGCGTCCTGTTCCACACAGCGCCCAAACCAGTTGCCCCGGAGGGCCAACAATGGCATAGAAATTATTCCCAGAGCTACTGGGATTTCTGAGGTTTAATGCCTCTGAATATGAAGTTTCCTTTACTCACCATAACTAGTAATCCTTGATGGACATCTCCCTCCATGAATCTGTCTAACCCCCCTCATGGCCATCACTATGTCTTCTGCCACTGAATCCCTCAGTTTAACATAAGAGATGTAATGATACACATCTATCGTCTTGAAGGCTGAAATTTTACTGCTGAAGGAAAACATACTTCCCAGTTTGCAAGGTTTTACCTATACTCACCAACAGTGGCTATTTCTTAATTAAGTATTGCCGTGATTACTGACCCCTTACCCATCCCCACTCTTCTACCAAGTTGCTCAGGGTGGCTTAAGTGGGGTTCCCATTCAGACACCTCGCATTGCCGAAAACCTGCATCCCCCCCACCCCACAAGGAAGAAGACAGAAGTCACCAAATGTAAACAATGATTCTCTGCCATGTTGGATCCTGACCAATTCTGAAGCACAGAAGTTGGGGGAAAGCTATGAAAGCAACAGTTGATGGTTTCTCCTCTTAAATTATTCCCTAACAGGAACTTTAAGTAGATTAGCCAGGCAGAGAGATAAGAAGTTCTTCTCTGAACAGCAAGCCTCTCAAACGGATGTTGCTGATTGCAGCCTCTGATGTACCCCAAACTACAGCTAAGGAGCAGCATTCCTGACTGTTCCCTTAGATGTAAAGCCACAGGAAAGGCTAAGTAAGAAAATAATAATTTTAAGCCACACAGCTGCCTCTAGCCTGTTTTGTTAAATATACCACACTAATTGGTGAATCCGTCAAACAGGAGACACATCTACCCTCCGCCACCTTCCCTTGGGGAGTACCTAGAAAAGAAACGTCTTAAGGGCCTCAGAATCAAAGAAAAATGCTCTCTCAAGCAATTTCTTGGGGGTATTTCAACACCTACCTCGTCGCAAACGTGTAAAGCAAAGAAAAGCACCAGCATTCCCGTGGACGGGTAGCGTCCATGGTGTTCTGTCCATCGGTCATGGATGTATTTGAAGAAAGCTGGATTGTAGATTTGAACCTAAAGACATGAGACAGACAGAACTCTTTTAACACAGTGGTTGACCTGTGTGTGTGTGTGTGATGAAACTATCAGTGGAATGCGCTGCTGTCAAATATCAGTAAACAGATTGTTTATGAACTGTTGTGACAAAGAACAAGCTGGGCACTGGACTGTGAGGCTCACTAGAATTTGGGTCTGGGCAAGTGACTTTCTCACCATCTAACAGTTCTGATCTGAGAAACAGGAATGGCGATGACAGTTGGCTCCCCCCACTTTCTAAAAACATGTGGTGGTCATCAAGAAAGGGGCTGGTGGGTGCCATGGCTGACCCCACGGACACTCCCATACACAGCCATGTACTGAGTCAGTCCATTGGTTTATCAAGGCCAATGCTATCAACTCTGACTGGCGGTGGCTCTCCAGGGTCTCAGGCCAAGGTTATTTCACAATACATATTGCTTGATCCTTTTAACTAGAGATGCTGGGGACTCAATCTTGAACCTTCTGCATGCCAAGCAGATGCTCTACCACTGAGCCACGGCCTCGCCCCTTATAATACTGAACACATGAGCCTTCATTCTGAGTCAGACCCTTAGTCCGTCAGGGTCAATATTGTCTACTCAGACTGGCCCATGGTTCTTCATGGTCTGGGGTCTTTCACATCACCTACTACCTGGCCCTTTTAGCTGGAGCTGCCAGGGACGGAACCTGAAGAACGTTTAAACCAGCTTACAGCAAATATATAAATGGCAAACAATTCCTTAATCACTGAAAAATATAAAGTTTCATAGATCAGTGGCAAGGAAGGCGGCCTTACCTTCTCTTTGTCCACCCGAAGGAAGGGCTTCACAGGTGCGTAGGTGCTATAAAAAGAAAGGGGAGAGAGGTTTGCCTTCCACTCTCACAAGGGAATCTCCTCCAGAGGGACCCCCACAGGATACAATGAGCTTGCTCAACCTTTTTTCCTGGGCTTCCTTCTTCCCCTCCATGAGCCTGACCTACAAAAGAGGAAGGGGGACCGCGGTGCTGGCAGCCATCAGTACAGAGAAACCTGGCGACAGCTGGCCCGTGCCCAGAATTGAAGCAAGTGGCACGGCAGTCATTATGTGTATAAGACAGAGGAAATAGGTCCACTTTCGCCTCCTTCTACAAAAAAGCCCTTTAAACAATGTCCAGAACGGAACGTAAACCAACCCCCCCCCCCAATCCTGGAATCCCTACTGAGGATCCTTAAGTCCCGTTGACCAATTATTCACTATTACTGTGTACCGTTCCTTCAGACTGGTGTAGTGGTTAAGAGTGCGTCTCTTATCTGGGAGAACTGGGTTTGATTCCCCACTCCTCCACATGCAGCTGCTGGTGTGACCCTGGGTCAGTCATAAGTTCTTTCAGAGCTGTTCTCTCAAGGGCAGTCCTCGAAAGAGCTCTCTCAGCCCCACCTACCTCACAGGGTGTCTATTGTGGGGAGGGAAAAGGAAGGGAATGCTCTGAGACTCCTTCGGGTAGTGAAGGGCGGGGTATAAATCCAATCTCTTCTCTTCTTCAGATAGTAACTATTTTGACTTGACCTGACAGAGAGACTACAGGGGAACAATTTCAGGAAAAGGAAGACGGGGAAGCAGCAACCACAAGGGGCAGTGGAGAGCCGGTGTGGTGGTTAAAGGGCTGGACTAGGATCTGGGAGACCCAGGTTCAAACCCCCACTTTGCCATGGAAGCTCACTGGATGACCTTGGGCCAAGCACACTCTCGCAGCCTCACCTACCTCACAAGTTTTTTTTGTGTGTGAGGACAAAATGGAGGACAGGAGAATTATGTAAGTCACTTTGGGCCCCTGCAGGGGAGAAAGGCAGGGTCAAAATGAAATAAACAAACAAGAGCCAGACTGTATCTTCTGCCTCCTTGTAAGCTCTCAGGAAGATCTCAACGGGGCTGCAAACCAACAAGCGGATTCTGAGGGGCAAGTGCCTCTTAGCCTAGATGGCATATTCCCTGCCTCCTCTAACAACCTCTGTGGGATGAACAAGGTTACCTGGGAAACCCCCTGCCAGGCAGCCTCCTAAATAAGATCTGAAAAATCCCAACCTGGTGGAACCTGCGACTTGATCCAGCCAACAAAGAAGAAGATGATAATATTGGATTTATACCCCGCCCTTCACTACCCAAAGGAGTCTCAGAGCAGCTTAGAAACTCCTTTCCCTTCCCCTCCCCACAACAGACACCCTGTGAGGTAGGTGGGGCTGAGAGAGCTCTTGACAGAAACTGCTCTTTTTCCAGAACAGCTCTTATCAGAACTACGGCTTGCCCAAGGTCATCCAGCAGGTGCAAGTGGAGGAGTGGGGAATTAAACCCGGTTCTCCCAGATTAGAGTCCGCACACTTAACCACTATACCAAACTGACTGGATAAATTGTGGCAACTGTACGTGAATTTATTTATTTAAAATTCTTCTGTCCCACCTTTCCCCTGAAAAAGCAGACGGAGCAGCTTAAATCATCATGTCAGAAAAGTAGACCCCTTGGGGTGGGTACAGGATGATGTGAAAATTCAAATCCGGTTTGCAGTCAGCTGCTTTCTCCTGAAATGGGATCGCTGGTATTGTCTATGGTGGTGTCTGTGCATAGTCTCAGGTAGAGAGGTCTTTCTCATCATATGACCTTTTTAACTGGATATGGCAGGGATTGAACCTGGGACCTTCTGCATGCAAAACAGAAGCTCCAGCACTGAGCCACAGCTCCAGCCCCTTCAACTTCACCTCTACTGATAACAAATCCACTAGCTCAGGGATAGCCAGGAGGACTCTATGTTCTTGGAGACCGCTGTATTCTCCACAGATGGACATGGCTCCAGAAGGTCAATTTTCTTCACGAAAGCTAGTCCCATGCCTCGCAGTGTTCGTGCTCTTTCATAAAGTTGGTACCATCTAGCAGGGGCCCGTTTCAAAATTTGTGATATACATACATGTGCTTTTCCATACATGCTGCATCCCTCTGGTTTCGTATATAAGCATTAGACTATGAAACAGTTCTAACCCCTCCCCTCTTTTTCTCATAAGAAAGCTGTGGATTATTATGTCATGGGACTGTTAGGGCCAGGATGTCTAAAATGGCTCTAAACAGGAAAGTCCAGTAAAGGACTTTGAACACCTCCAAAGGGTAACATGGGGAAGGATCTTCCTTTTGAATACATACAATCGGATCTGGCCCGTCGACAGGGCACTTGCAATCCACAGCAGGTCCAGAGCTTTGAAGGGCACGAGAACAAAGCTGACATTGGCTGGCAAGTTTTTGGCGCTCTCTGGGTACATGAAGTGATGTGTTGTCCTGCTCCCAACATCTGCTTCAAAGCCCACCGTGGGGGCCTGGTTCATTCTGCAGGGAAGAAAGGATGTGTGTCGAGACAATGCTACCTAGATCATTTCACTGCTACAGTGGACTGCTTGTGGTTCACCCTGACAGCCCAACCAGTAGGATGTTCCAGGATTTATTGCCTTGTGATGAGACCATGTGGTAAGGATTTACAGTGTTAGCATAATACCTGTTTAGTTATAAATACACAAAGCAGAGCATATGGATGGAGTGAGTGTTCAAAGCAGGCGGTACAACGACTAATCCTGTTTACCGTAGTTTGCTGAGATCTTTTCCCAGTCCTATTCTGCTATGGTCTTTTTGGAAAGACTGCAGTCAAAGTGCCTTTGGATACCATGTAGATGGGAAGCTGGGTATTTTTGCAGGTCATGACCCTGCTTAGCTTCCATTATCTGACAAAACTGGGCTAGCTTGGACCATCCAGGTCTTTTGGTGGAACAGTTGTTCTCTAGCTCTGAAGAAAGGAGCCTTGCTCCGAGTGCTTCCATTCAAGCTGTGCTTTATGAGAACTGCCACTAGAGAGCAGAAGTCAACACAGAATCTTGCAAGAATGCTACGGAGTAAAGAGATCCAAGCAGGCCTACTTGTGCTTTATGTGCTCATAGTGTTTAGATGGCTAACAGAGCAGGATACCTCCTTGCTTCCACAATCTAATCTGAAGCCTTTACCCTGTCACTGCACCAGAAGAAGTTATGCAAACCAAGAAGTCTCAAGATTTAGCCAGACTGCAGAATTCTGATTTTCTTTGCAAAGAATGGGTAAATGCAGCTGTGACAGACTACATTATAAATGCTGTTTTCCTAATGCAGCAGAATCAGAGCTCAGCAGCAGTTACTGTCCAGTAAAGTAAAAACTCAGCTAAAGGAGTGGATATCTGAAAAGTCTGACTAAAAGTTTGTCAGACAGGTTCACCTTTTTGACTCAACTTCATGCAGTTCTAGAGAGTCCTTGGTTTTCTCAGAGCAACATTTCAAGAAGACCAACATCAAAAAAAAAGAGGGAGAGGTAGAAAAGTTCCATTCTGATGACAGAAGTGCCTTATGCTAAGAGAAGAATTAGTCTAGAACTCAATAATTCTTCAGGCGATGGCTAGATGATCCAAAACAGCCAATCACTTGGCAGTGGAAGAGGAGCTGGGAGTCAACCCCTTTCTACTGGGAGGCCAGAAACCCAATTTAATTATATAATCAGGAATGCGTTCACAATTATTTGTCCAGCTAGCAATGCTTGGATGCAAGAGCTGGCCTAGTGGTGGGGAGGCTGGAATGCAGCCCAATGCCCTGGGATTCACAGGCTGTCCCCCCCCCCACCGCCGCCCACTTACCTCATGATGAAGTCATGGCCATTGATTTCCCTGCCGTAGCCAGAGCCTCTCAAGTTGCCAGAGTTGCCCACCACGGCGCAACGTCGGCACTTCTGGGAGTCTCGGAAGCCGTATGGGTTCTCTCCAGGGACAATCTGAAAAAGCTTGTTCAAGACTTCATTAAGGTTGTGGGACTTGAACTGGGGCTGTAACATCTGGAAGAAACAAAACGGGGGGGGGCAACGACAATTAAGAGGCGGACTGAGAAGTCAGATGGAGAGCAGCAATGAGAGAGAAGCTCATCGACCAACCCAGGATTCAAGAAGCATCAAAGCACAGGGCGGTCACGGAATACCAGCATGGCAACATTATGCCTTACAGCAAGCACATAAAAGTGTGCAAGTATCACATGCACATCATCCACATGTTCCTTGCGGTGGGAGAGACCACTAAGTCCAACATTTCATGTAGACCTGCCTGGGTAAGGAAGATGGACTGCTGACCTTGAACAACAGAAATGGAGAGGAAGGGAATGTACAAAGAGCCTTGGGGGGGGGGGAGATGGGCTTTTTCAATTTATCCACTGGGATTTGGGGCGAATATTACCCTCCGAAAACCAAAACGACTCCTATGAAATAAATTTCTTTGAAAGGAGCAAAATGCTTTTCAAGATTTCATGAATAAGTATGTTTAGTGTGAGGGGAAAAGTGAATATTGTGAGAGGAATAGTGAGAGAAAATTGGAGGCCGCTAAAAACACCTCCTCTATTAATTTTGGAATGAGTAAAACAGGCTAAGGTAACAGAGTGCAGCAATTTGCAGCTCTCTTGCTTTAGTATTGCGTATAGCTGCAATTCTGCAAACTAAGGCATTTGTACTTTTAAATCCAATAAATATACAAATTAGTATACTTATATGCCTTTAATGTTAGAGCAACAAAACGGGGATAAGTTTGATAGGTAACTGTTGCATATACTTCACTTTCCCCCCCAGAGCTTAAATTCCCTGAAACTGTTCAGATCAAACCAGTGGTGCATATAGTCCAGCATATAGTCCAGCACTGTTGTTCAAAGGTTTTCTGATTCATGGAGGAATTTCACATTACCCTTTTTAACCCGTTTTGAAGCCATTTTTGATCCATCATAGAGTAAACCGGTATAGGGCTGCCATTTCACACATGGCTTTCACCTTCCGGTAAAGAGCTGGATCTGAAGTGGTTTGCCATTTCAGACTGCATCGCTTTTTCCCCGCCGTTTTTCGCCCGCGTGGGCGATCTCTGGCTTTTTTATTTTTTGGAATGTTCACTTTATAGCACTATAACAAAACACTCTATGCATTCCAATGGCGTTGATATACTGCTGTTCCGTTATAGTGCTATGGCGCTATAAAGCGAACGTTAAAAAAAAAAGCTGGAGATTGCCCGTGCGGGCGAAAAACGGTGGGAAAAAGGGCATCGGAACCAGGAGAGGAAACTGAAGACTACTTGGAAGCGGTTGACAGGTAAAACGCTTCAGCCCCGTTTCCTAAATGGAACAGAAGCGTTTGTGTCTGAAATTCCAAATATATTCCGGTAGGGAACCGGTTCTAAAACGGTTCTGTCTGAAATGACAGACCAGAAACGGTTTGGGAACTGGTCCTCTTCTGGATTATATCGTCTGTCTGAAATTCCTCATTCTTTCACACACAATCCTCATACTATGATTCGCTTTCACAGTAAATGTCTAGCATGCAGACAATCAGATGTATGGCCTCTTGCAAGTGTTTGCATATTCTTGCAAAGCAGAAGGAAGGAGGCTCTTCTGACCTCCGCCCCCGCTGACCACAATCCATGTGACTGTGGTTTCTGTTGACTTGTGTCTCTTTTAGGAAGAGATAGGTGGAGAAGAATCACACTGAGTTCGATAACAACAGGGATTGTCCCTATTGTTTACTCCAACTGATAAGCAAACTGCTTGCCAAACTGGCTTCAGAAGAGTAACTTATAAAAGAGAAATGCATTTGTTTTAGGTTTTTAATAATCATGTCAACGTATTTTTAAAAGGCCATTCTTCTTCTTCTTCTTTAATGGAAGATGATGTTTTGAACCCCACAAGTAAGACCACTGGGAGGCAAACAAAGTCCAGGCAATTAAACTCCATAGCAACCAGTCCCCTGAATGTCTTTAATTACCATATAAACCACTAGTAATTAATAATACTTCTGTGCTTTCAAGTCAGCAACTGACTCATGAGGACCCCAGGACGAGGGGGTTTTCAAGGCAAGTGATAAGGAGCAAGGGCTTGCCAGTGCCTTCCTTTGCACAGCGACCCTGGGTTTCCTTCATGGTCTTCCATCCAAATACTAACCATGGCTGGCCCTTAGGGTTTCCAAGTACTTACCTACGATCCGGCGGTGGACACATGCTTCCCCGCCGGAAGATTCTTGCTTGGAACACAGGCGCTGCACTATTCCGTTGCCCAGACGTGACGTAGGCACGTAGCTGGGCGACGCTCTGGTAATGGGACTGGAAACTCGATGGTACCATCAAGTTTCCAGCCCCATTGCTAGAGCATCGCCCAGCTACGTGCCAACGTCACGTCTGGGTGACGGAATAGTGCAGCACCTGTGTTTTCCCCGCAGGAATGGTTCCGCGAAGAACTATACATCCCCCGCTGAATTAAGGTAAGTACTTGGGAGCCCTGCTGGCCCTGCTTTGCTTCCAAGCTCTGATGCAGTCAGACTAGGCTGCAGGATTGCCAGCCTCCACGTGGTGGCTGGAGCTCTCCCACTCCTACAGCTGATCTCCAGGCAACAGAGATCAGTTCACTGGAAGAAAATGGCCGCTTTGGAAGGTGGACTCTATGGCATTCTACCCCACTGAAGTCCAGGGGTCATTTCCTGCAGGAGCACACAGGAGCAGAGCTCCAGCAGTAAAGAGCCCAGGGGGCGGGCACATGCAACAAGCCCCACCCCCCGCTCCCAGCAGCCCTCAGTGACAGCAAGAAGCAGCCAGGTAAGTTGCAGAGCCCCCTCGGCCCAAAACAGTCCAGTGACACCTTTAAGACCAAGTTTTATTCAGGTACAAGCTCTCCCTCTGTGAGGACAGATCTGCACGTCCCCCCCCTCCCCCAATAGCTAGCAATCCAAAACAGTCCAGTGGAACCTGAGCAGTGGGTGTTGCCTTCTGACACACTTCCGGTGATGTCGGGGGTGTGGCATATGCAAATAAGTTATGCTAATGAGCTCCTGCACCTCTTTTTCTATGAAATGACCCCTGCTGAAGTCCCTCCCCTCCACAAACACTGCCCTCCTCAGGCTCCACCCCTAAAATCTCCAGGCATTTCCCAACCTGGAGCTGGCAACCCTACTAGGCTGGGTTATCAGGCTGCTTAGAGGCAGTTAAAATGATGGCACCACCACCTGGCTGACATTGAGGTAAATAAAACACAAGTCCAGTGCAGCGTTCCCTCTAAGGTGAGCTAGCTCCCAGCTTTTTAGTCTCCGGCTCACACATTTTTTGTCTTTGCTCAGGAAGGATGGCTCCAGAGCAAACTAATTTATGCAGTAGCCAAATCGCTTGCTCACAATTTTAATGCCAGTAGCTCACAAAGTAGAATTTTTGCTCATGAGACCCCACAGCCTAGAGGGAGCATTGGTACTTTAAAGACTAACAACATTTATTCCAACAACAGTCTTTAAAGGTACTACGGGACTCCTGTTGTATTTTAGTAAAGCAGGCTAACACCGATACCCCTTTGCAGTTAACATTCAGTTGCTGTAGCAGAGACACACAGGTTGGCTATATTTGGTCACTGCATATCCAGTTCTTATGGAAGCCGTATGCAGGCCCAGGAGCAGTTACACCGTTAAGATGGATTAGGCAGGCATGAGAGACCTGTAATGTGTAATGAGGCCCTCAGCCATCCACTAACTCTCAAGCCAGGACTGGATCATCCAGAGACCCTCTGCTGCACAAGCAGTGGACCCCCGTTCCAAGATGCTCTCACACAAAGCAAACCCCATGGATATCGCCAGGGCTATTTTTGGGCAGGAATGAACAGGAACGGAGTTCCGGCTGGCTCCTGAGTTGGCCACACCCAGGAGGAACTCATTAGCATAACAGGCCACACCCAACAGCAGAAACTCATTAGAATTGGCTACATTAGGGGTGTGTGGCCTAACATGCAAAGGAGTTCCTGCTACAAAAAAAACGCTCGGTTTTGACAAGGTAAACAGAATAAGAAGCAAAAGGTGAGTGTGGCTGGATGACCACACTTCTGGTAACATGGGGTGTGGCCTAGTATGCTAATGTGCTGTGCTGTCAAGGGTGTGGCCTAATATGCTAATGAGTGCTTGATGTTGGGTGTGGCCTATTATGCTAATGAGTTCCTGCTGGGCTTTTTCTACAAAAAAAGCCCTGGTTATCGCGCATTACATCCCCCTAGCCTTCAGCCACTCCCCAGAAAGTGCAACAGCAGTGCAGTGATATGTCCACGGCCCTGAGCAACACTCCTGGGACGGGAAGAGAAGAAATAGGGCAAAAATGGAAAGCTGCTCCTTCATTTGTATCCTGGGCACAAAGGCAGTGGTGGACAGGGTGGGGGTGAGTCAGCAGCCACATTAATAGCAGCACCAATCTGGGCCTTGCGAGAGAGGTTATAAGTTCAGGCCCTGCAGCAAATCCAACCTCATTTTGGCTCTGCAGAAAAGCTCTGCAGCTTTTATGCAACAGATGGTGCTTCTGGAAAGAGAGCCTTTTCTGTCTTTGGTAGGAATTAGCAGCGGTTTCTCAGGCAGCGCAGTCCGAGCTGGGCACATCTGGAAACCCAGCGCTTAATAGGCCACAATCAGCCTGCGTGCAGATGGGCGGAGGTAGGGTTGCCATCTGTGGTTTGGGGAATTCCTGGAGATTTGGGGAGTGGAGCATGGGGAGGGTGGGGTTTAGGGAAGGAAGAGACCTCAGTGGGGTATAAATGCCCTAGAGCAGAGGTGTCAAACTCATTTGTTACAAGGGCCAGATCTGACATGAATGTCACTTCGTGGAGTGGCCCATGTGTACCATAAAACACAATGCCAGGTACCGGAGATAGAAACTGTATAAAGTACAGCAGCTAGTAAGCTCAGAGTTGGTGTATCTTCACTGCAAGGCCCCGTGGGTTGGGAGGGGGGTGCAGAAGAAAACCCACACAGGCGTACTGGAGAGGCAGCAGTGCAGTGCTGGGCAGACGCTCCCATGA